AATGAGCCGCTTTGTGATATCATAAAGCCCGGAAAACAAACGCTATAGTCCAAACGAGCCGTTCGTTGTAGTTCTTGAAAAGGGATTTTTAAAAAACGAAATATCTCCCTTTGGTGTGGACTTTGAGATTTGTAACTTTCTAGATCTTTTTTATGCCCAAACATACACACTACACACTGACTAAAATTTAAAAAGTGAAAAAGCATAATAGGACCCCTTTAAAATAACAAAGATGTTTCTGTAGACTTTTCCAGTCTTGAGTGGATCAGTGTGCGGTTAGCCACCCTCTTGTTCATTTTCAAATCATGTATGCACAGTATGTATGCATGCATGTATGTCTGTGTGTATATATATATACTCATACACGATTTGAAAAATATCTTTGGGAAATCAGATGCATTAATAATATGTTTGATAATAAAATGTTTTATTGTTTCAGTCTAATTACCATGTATTTATAGCTCAGTGCATATTATAAAAAAGCACAGGTCAAAGATGAAAACAGGTTTTCAAGCATCAAAACAATAAAAGTTTAATACAGCTTTACATTTTGTAATGTAATAGAATGTGTCCTGTTTAACTTTATTTTTTCTGCTAAAAAATTATAACTATTAAATATTTTTACAACAATTTACAGAAGAGACCAACTAAAATGTAGTTCAGTGTAACAATAGTTTATTTACCAAAAAATCATGTCAGGCATATTTAGAACCAGAATCATTAGATGACATTAAAAGATCATTTTAAATCTTTATCAATCTTTGCCACTATCCTTCAAACCACTAGGTTTTATCCATTTGTCAGCAAGAAGTTTTTCAGCATTTAAAATATTACAATAGTTTGTAAGATCACTTTTTCTTTTATATATTTTAATAAGTATAGAATAATTAATTAATACATTATCCCCTGGTTTCACAGACAAGGCTTAAGCCTAGTCCCAGACTAAAATGTCAGTTTGAGCCGTTTCAACTGAAAGAAACTTGCACTGATTGATCTTAAAATATATCAATGGGTACGGGTTCCATTTTTTTTTTTTTCTGGACTCCTTTTTAATGGTTAAATTACATTTGATTAATCAAAAAGAATGTCGAATTAATTAAAATCATGATACTTAAACAATTTAACATCAATTTATTAAAAGTTTAACAAATATTACATGTTTTGACCTTCAAGGGGGGTGGGCCGCCCCCCTAATATAATAGCAGGGGAAACACTGCAGGTTTATAAAAATTACTTAAATGTCCTAATTGAACTATGGCCTAATCCTGTCTTAGTCTAAGCCCTGTCTGTGAAACCAGGCCTAAATATTCTATTCTATTAATTTGTTGAATTTTTACATAAATATATGTTTCGCTGAATGACATTATATTAACATTATATCAACCACATTTTTGACATTTTATTTTCACAAAAGTTATTTAAAGCATTCCTATGAAATGTTTTATTGTAACCAAATTCTGTTTTAGCATGTCTAATTATTTGAAAGCATAAAACAAGTTTCATTTATTCTTACAATAGCCTTATGATTTTTTGCTCAGAAATTCTGTGTTGTGTATTTAAAAAAATTTTTAAGGCATAAAACATTAATTTAATCTTTTAAGTAATGAAAATTCAACAAATTTTATTTTTTGGAAAATAAAGGTCATTTAATATTACAATTAAAACATTGAAGAAATATTGAATGCTTATTCCTTAAAAATAAGGTTTTAATAGTCTAAGCCCTGTCTGTGAAACCAGGCCTAAATATTCTATTCTATTAATTTGTTGAATTTTTACATAAATATATGTTTCGCTGAATGACATTATATTAACATTATATCAACCACATTTTTGACATTTTATTTTCACAAAAGTTATTTAAAGCATTAAAGTGGACACTTGCATTTACTTTGCTTTCTATGTATATGAAATCACTTATATACATTTAATTTGATACGGATGTCTTGTCTTTGACCCATATATAATAAATTATGCCATATAAGCGCACACGCAAGTAAATGTACAATGGCAAACCGAGGCGGAGCCATGCAGACGAGGCTAAAGGCATTAAACTTTGTTACCTCTGTGAGGGGTCGGGGCCGGCGCTCAATGGTAAACTCAGTGTGGCACAGCTCACAGTAGCTGGTGTTAGAGGAGGACAGCCATTTCTCCAGGCAGCTCTTGTGGACCGTGCCCAATGTGCCGGTGCAGTCGCACGGGGAGAGAAGCCCCTCGCTGTTGCACACGTCTTGACCCTCGTGGCAGATCCGACAAATTGGCCGATCACTACCAGAGAGGGGAGTTAACAGCTTTATCTTTAGGCCACTGAAATGCACATCATGTGGAATTCAAGTCAAAACCTTTTTAATATTCCACAAAATATTGTTTAGATTTGTCTACCTCTGGGTGCCCAGGGCTTTGATAACAGTAGATAGTAGACGTCCATCCTTGGCCGTGACCTGGGTGACGTACTGGGCCCGGCGGTTTTCAGCATCCTCCACGGTTTTTGACAGGGCAGCGTTGCCAGTGCAGTCGCACAGGGAGCCTGGGAGGTGGCAACACTCCCCTGTGGTCATTTCGGGGCCGTCCAGGAGGGCGGGGGGCAGGGGAGCACCGGGGGGAAACAGGGAGCAGCCTCGCTCCCACACCTCAAGTCACAAAGACCCTACCACTGCAGAGAGGAGGAACATTTACAACAGTTACAATAGGGACATTTCGACAGCAAAAATGGTCAGTTGTCTATTAGCAATAACGTAGCAATGTATGAAGCGCCGCTCAGACAGAAGTCACTTTCAAACTGCAAATACCAGATGCAAATAATGTGTGGAACATAATGTGGATTCCTACTGAAATTATGCAAAAATTCGCCAGATAAGAGTAAATGTGTCAAAGTGTAAATCACTTTTTTTCTGTGAGAGGAATATTGTGTGTTCAATACAAGTTCAAACAACAGCTAGGCCTGTCACGATAACAACTTTTTGTTGTGCGATATATTGCGCCAGAAATAATTGCGATAAGCGATATTATTGTCATTTTAAAGACCATTTTATGCCACTGAATATATTGTCCGTATGCACAAAGGAACAGATCCCTAAACAAGGTCATATCTGCAGATGAAACTTTTTTTGTAGAAGCATTTTATAAATTTGAACTAGCACCTCATGACTACACCATGTTATGTTTGAGAAGCTGCAAAAGACACAGGCACAAGTGGAATGTACAAAACATGGTGACATTAATTTTTAAGTAAATATAATGTGATATTGCATCATCAAAAATTATTGCGGTCATGTACATACATTGCGCGATAAGTCGATATATTGATTATTGCGACAGGCCTAAGTCAACAGCATTAGTGGCATAATGTTGATTACCACAAAAAAGTAATTTCAACATTTCCCTCCACTGAGACACTTAAAACGGAAGTGCATGTGGCCAAAAGATAAACTAAACTAAGATAAGACTCACTGTTTTAATAGTACACAAAAAAGCATAGCGTAAAAAAAACTAACATTTGAGTAAAGTTACATCCAATTTTACAAACCTGTTGCCTTGACAATGTTGTAAACCCTAAAATGACCTTAAAAATAATGATTTAAATTTAAGTGCTTTAATAAATCATAAGCTTCACATTTCTGCTTTTAAATCATCCAAAAATTGGCCCCATTTACTTCCATTGTAAGTTCCTTACTGTAAGTTTAATTTTTGCTTTGTCTTTTTTTATTATTATAATTATTTTTCCAAGTCAAATCAGTATGCATTAGAGCTTAATTTGTATATAATATATATATTCATTCCATCTAGAGTTGATTTTCATGCCCATATTTTACTTTTAACTTTCTTTCTGATATAAAAAACACAATGTGGCACACATTTTTGTGAACCAATACAATTTAACCAGCTCATCATCTACAAAACATCCAGTTATATTTTGTGTCATATCCAGATATGTCATATCCGGCTATAAACATACATACATACACATACAATTTATTATATATACACACACACACAAACACACAGACACTACTATTTAAATTTTGGGAATATATATATACTTTTTTTTTTTTTTGAGCCCCTGTACATTTCTGATCTAGCTTTCTTGAAACACAAAAAAGTAATTTTTTTAAAATAATGATAATTTTTAAAATCATTAAATCTAAAGTGAATGCAAACAGATGCTGCCTAGCTATAAAGAATGCCAAAAAAGCACTTACAAACTTCCAACAACAACAAAAAAAAAATTGTGCATTATATTCCAAGCTGCTTTGTATAAGGAACCATTTATAATCAAAAACTTGATTTTGACTGATTTCCAAGTTAGGCAGCTGTAATCACTACAAGCTTGCACTGTATGAAAGAGAGAAGCTTGGACATTCTTCAGAACGTCTCCTTTTGTGTTCCACAGAAGAAACAAAGTCATAAAGGTTTGAAACAACACGAGGATTCATTTAACATAATATATCAGTATAATACATATCAATCATATTGAGGTTAACTTAGTCTATTAACTGAACAATACACTAAAGAAAACCTAGTGAGCCGCCTATCTACACAATGTTTTGGGGTACTGTAGGTTTTGAAACATTATTTAACACATCCTTTGATGAATGGCAACTCGCTGGATTATTAAATCCAGATTATGATCCACTGATCAAACCAACAACATATAACCTTTACTTTCATGGGAATGTATGGACAGAAACAGAGATGAGAGAATAACCAGCATAAATGCACTGCTATTTTACATGAAATCATCTACATGTACTGCCATAACATCATTGCACATTTAAAGCATCTGATCTAGTTTGATCTGATCTGATCTATCAAGCTGTCTGACACTGGTCTAGGGAGGGCCTTTGGCACACAACACAAGCTGCCAATTAAACATCAGTTTCCTCCAATACAGCGCTAAATGTTTCTTACATTTCAGACTACTGATTTAAATCGAAATTAAACCGATTCGATACGTATTAAGACAAAGGCAGAGTGAATGTGGAAAAATGCAGCTGCATTAGGCTGCTAGTTACATTAGCCATGTAGCAAAATATGCCATCAAAGCCTGGGATTAGAGATTAAAACATAATTTCTTGTCGTCTAATCTTACCTTCTGATTTTCCATGCTGAGCTGGTGCCTTTAAGGGTAAATTCCTTTTAAAAGTGGCGCTTGTTTGAAAGCGATAAGGTAAAAGTACAAGCCTTGTTTTGGGTTTCTTCCCTTCAGCAAACGACTCGGCTCGGCCTCCTACCGACGTCTCTGATTAGCGCCGTGTACGTTAAGAGCGTAGAGGGAGGCGCTTCCGTGCGCAGCGCTGCTTCGGAATTTTCCTAAACAGCTTTCGTGAATAGCCGTCATCCGAGAAGTGCCTATTGTTGTTATTTCTAAGGACTGTTCACTACTCATGTGAGGCTTTATGTGTTGGGATGGAAATATGGTTTGTGTTTTGAATCATTCGTTAACTTAAATACTTTAGCACTGAGTCTTTATTTAAGTTTATGCGTAACTTAATATTAATATTGTAATATTTGATTTTGATTTTCAGTTTTGTGCATAAAATACACTTTTATTCACTTCTTACAAAAGTGTTTTAGAAATGTAATCTAAAAATGTTAAGTATTTATATATACAGTATATGAGGCTTCATTACAACCTTTTAAAAAAAATGTCTTTTTAATTTTGTGTAAATTTATTTCTTTTGTCATTTTTTACCAGATTGTTTAAGAATATCGCTTAAAAATGTTGAGAATCATTCTTTAATTTGTCTTTTATTCTTTATTTCAGCAATAGTGAGCAAAATATGTTCATGCCTAACATAATATTTCACTTGTCTAATATTTCACTTTTGTACATATTTAAAAAATTGCACTTTTATTCCCCATCTTTTGTCATTTTTACCAAATTGTTTAGGAAATGTTATTTAATTGTTTTCTTCGATATGACATTTTTTGAAACTGTGAACAACATTACTGTTCTTGAATGTCTTAAGAAATATTTTGTTTTTAATTTTGTTTAAATTACTCCTTTTTTTACTCCATCTTTTTCAGACTAAGAATGTCACTAAAATCATTCTTTAATTATTATCCTTTTATAAAAATATACTTTATTTTTAGCAAAAGCAAACAAAGCGAAAACATTTATGGCTAACTTAATATTTAATTTTTCACTTTTGTGCTTAAGAAAGAAGTACCTTTATTCCTGTTTTCTATTTTTACCTAACGATTTAAGAAATGTCATCTAAAATTTTACATTTTATTTCAAATGTTCATTCATTGATATGAGTAGTTTCAGAAAAATTTATCAAACAATATTTTAGGTTTTTAATTTAAGCAAATTTATTCCTCTTTTGTAATTTTTACTACATTTTATAGATTAAGAAGAACATTTAAAAGTTTTTTTTTGTTTGTCACTTTTAGTTTAATTTTTTTTTTTTTTTTACCAAGTCCTGGATTAAAATCCTGAATAAAAAAAATAGTAATAATAAAAATAGCAACTGTATAATGCAACCGTTTTATTGCTTCTGACTACCAAAGCCACAAGAAGAAAAAAAAACTTTTACCATCAGTCTGATTATAAACATCAGTTTTACATGTAGCCAGACATATGTCAACTTTACTTAGTATTTCACCTGGTATATTCCTTTAAAGAACTTATGACATGGAAACTAAACCGGCTGCATGAGTCATGCCAACCATGTGGCACATGACACTTATTCTAGGTACAGATTCAGACATGCGTGTCATATTGTGCAATATGGAGTTAAAAAAAATCACGATTGCAATTGTGACAGTAATTTGGTTTATTTTCCATTTTAATGTAACCTGATAAAAGGCAAAACAGCTGTTGTGACTTCATGGATGTGTAAATGTCACATAACCACACTTGAAAAAGGCATCTTAATCACAGTATGGGAAAACATAAGGCATTTCCAAAATAGCCGTATGACTTAGTCAAACAATCGAATATATAGTGACTTTTTCACAGACTGGTGAAACAACTGACCATCTAAAACACTGCGCACCATTGCATTTTCCCACTGAAGAGCTATAATACCTCAGCAATGCAATGAATAGTTTACATATATATATTTATATATAAAACTGTTATTTGAATAATTTCTCAATTCATGAAATGCTTTATAGACGCATTCACATAACTGCTATATATACGGCAATCTGAACGCGTTGAACAAATTGCGCAACTTCACACCCATCAGCCCTGGCATAAAATATTGCAGGATAGGACTAAAGGTGTGATGTGTGAAATGTTTAATGAACTGAAATAAAGATGACAGCAGCCCTCCTTTGGTATCCGCACGATCCAAGACGAACTCGATTTTCTTTCCAAAAAACTGGCCCTTTTAACCCAAGTCAGGGATCTGGCTCAACAGACGGCGGGCGTTTAGTGTGGATCCCAGAGAACAACCATCAGAGGAAGCCGAAGACACACTGATCCCTCACCATCCCTTTTCCGTAGGAGCGGATCACACGATCAGCGCCCAAATAATCACTTCCGAGGAAAAACATTTTGCCAAGCAAATGTGAATTCAGACAGTGGATAATAGTAAAGAAAAAAACAGTGACAAACAAACAAGAGCCCCCCAAAACAAGGAAAAGGAATGTCACCTAGAGATTCACGCTTCTAAGGGTCGTCTAGAATTAGCGTGGAAATCACAACGAGGTAAAAAGAGGAAAGAGCCGTAGCCATAGCACAACACACAGGAGCAAAGCCGAGATAAATAGAGGGGAACTGAAGCCCAAGGGAGGGGGTAGAGCCGGGGGAAGTGGGGTCACAGGTTCTGACAGCACTGAAATTTGTTGCCCTTTAAACCATCGGTAGTGGGCGGCACGCTGATGTCCACTACGTTGTTGCCGGGAGACTCGTCGTGCATGGACCTGTCGGCGATCTGCTTCTGTGATACGATCCGATAGATTTCTGTAACAAAAAGAGACATTTAGTTTGAGACGCCCACTGGGAATGTATTACGTTGCAGTCATATTAATGCTGTACAGTGGGCCAAATCACAGAACATCATTTCTGCAGGAATCCACGTAATCAGGAATTTCGCAAAAGGACAAAATATTTCCCCTCATAGATTTTGCATTGAGTTCACATTGGTAAATTCTTTGGCGAATTCTTGGGCTTGCAGGAAAAAAATCCAATAATTTCAACAGCAATGCACGTGCTCATGCGGCAAATTCTCTGGCTTGATTTGAAAGGGAATTTTCTACACAGATTCTGTAACATTTTTGAGTTGGTCACATGGATTCACCACATTCCTCCACTTTGTTTAAAAGTAAGCAGACGAGATCCAGTAATTTCAATAGGAGTCCACGTAATCTGAATTGCGCGGATTTTTGTCCACTAAATTTGGCTGAAAACTGGCTAATGTGACTGTAATTGGAGTTACAATCAGGACCCACCTGTTAGTATGTTTTTAAATGCCTCCTCCACATTTGTGGAGTCCAAAGCCGATGTTTCGATGAAGGAGAGAGTGTTCTTCTCTGGAAAACACAAAATGAGAGATATTTTAACAGCTCAGGTAGATCTTTTCGTACTAAACAACATGAAAATGCAGGAGGAGATGCTCACCTGCAAAAGCTCTGGCCTCATCGGTGGGTACGGCCCTGAGGTGCCTCAGATCACTCTTGTTGCCCACCAGCATGATGACAATGTTGTTATCCGCGTGATCCCGCAACTCCTTCAGCCAGCGCTCCACATTCTCATAAGTCAGATGCTTTGCAATGTCATAGACCAAAAGAGCTCCGACTGCACCCCTGTAGTACCTGTAAAGGAGACCCAGATAAATAGGTGTAAATGTTTGCTCTGACAATGATTCAACCATGATGCTTTACTAAATGATGCAGTGAATTAAAAAAAATATATATTTGTAATCAATTTTGATATTTTAAATGATTAATTATACTATAATATAATTAAATAATTTTACCAATAACTTATAATATTATGGGCCATACATCAAATAAATTATCAATAATTATTCTATAAAATCACTTATAGAATTACAAATTATTTTATTTTTAATTATACTAATATATACTATAGTTTGAGTGTACAAGAAATAACTTTAAAAGAAAATTATCCTATTATTAAACAGGATTAAAATTGTACTCCACATTAATTCTACATTAAATATAATTTATCAATAACTCTAAAATGAATGTACTTACTATTGATGAATTATTATTTAAAATTATGAGTTTTTTAATTTTAGCAATAATTCTAAAAAAACTACTTTTACATAATTATAATTATTTTATGTTTAGTCATAGTATAATATTACCATATTTCTATAAAATAAATAAATTACTTTATTATTAAATAGAGCTAAATTAAATATACTATTAATAATTTACTTAAAATAATTTGATCAATAACTTTAACATTACTTTATAGATTTATTATGATAAACCATGAAGATATGTGAACCCAGTGGCCCATACAGACTGATAGGTGTGAATCAATCGGCCCATAGAGGTGATGGGTGCGAGCCAGACGGCCCACACAAAGGACATTCAATCTTGAGTATTGAGGACCCTACATGGGAGGTCCTAACAGTTCTGTACTCTGGTATAAACTTTTGTCCCACACACAGAACTTTGGGTTAAGATTTAATTACATCTTCATGTACTCACGCTGATGTGATGGCTCTGTAGCGTTCCTGTCCCGCTGTATCCCAGATCTGAGCCTTAATGGTCTTGCCATCCACTTGGATGCTGCGAGTTGCGAACTCGACACCAATAGTGCTCTTGCTCTCCAGGTTGAACTCATTCCGAGTGAAACGGGACAACAGGTTACTCTTCCCCACACCAGAGTCTCCAATGAGCACCACTAAAAAACAGAAGAAAACATCAGGCTGTTTGAACAAGACAATAAACTTGATATCAAATGATGCTTCACAGCTGCTCTTATAAACACCATATCCATAGGGAAGATATCATAGCCATCACCAAGGCCACAGAACAGAAACAATCTACCTTGTGAGTCTTTGAAAGTAAACCACAAAGCAAAGTGTGTACCCAAAGCTTATACAGTGTCATCATTTGAAAAGCAGAAACACGCTAGATTAGTCGGCCATCCTGGTTGAGTCTACATGAGGAGGCCAGAGAGATAAGAGAGAAGCCGTAATCTACCAACACACACTTCCATTGTCACTTTTGCCTTCGCTCCATCAATTTGACACCATAAAAATTGAAATACAGGCCTAGCCAAATTGTATAAAAAAACAGAAATGCATAGAAAATATCAATCAACTCATACTGTGTCCGTTGCAACGTGGTCACCATTCATTTTCTCTAGAGGAAACCTGAAGTAATTCACAAAATGGTTGTTGATAAACATCTAAAAAAAAATGGTCAAAGCTTTCAACAAGAAATCTTAAAAATAACCAATGTGACACGTTTGTAAAACCTCTACAGTAACCTGTGGGTTTTGTCACATACTGAAACACTTTTCAAAGGCTTGGTGTAAAACAGGAACCTGATGTGGGAAGGAACTTTTAAATATAACGTATAAATAATTAAATAAAAAAATATAACATATATACACACACACACACACACACACACACACATACATACATCCAAATATGTTTTACAATGACGTCACGATCATCTACAGTTGTCAATTTCACATTACAGAGTTCATGTATCAGCTTAATGATTTAACTAAATTACGAGCTGTAAAAGCTACAAAAATGATTACAATTTCAGGTTAATTACCAAATTTGGCCTGTTTGAACATCAAGAAGCTACTCTTGTGTAATAAACGACAAAAAAAAGTTTGCTAAGGCCTAGCAATGCAACCACACAAAATATTAAGCAACACATAACGACTCGAAAAGTTCACGTTTCTCGACGTTTTTGGTATAACGTTAGCAGCAAAACCTGCTGAAGTGAACTGAATATATTTTGTTTGTTGTTTTGGGACGAACTGATTGCATTAAAACAGCAGCTAGTTATTTCGCTCATTTTAGCTTTCACTCCAGTTTTAAAGCTATCTAGCTGCTTAGCTAACATAATGCTGAATAAAAAAGCGATTTGCATTATTGCTTTTCATACTGTCGAAAGACGATGCAAATAAATAATATCACTATTCAAATGTATTAATCTACTTTCAACTCTTGATTCTTCGAAACCTGTTAATATTTCGATAGCTAACGTCAGTATACTAGCATTCCAGCTAACCCAGCTAGCCACAGTCATCAGGAAACTTGCTGTTTTCGTTGATAATAAAGGAAAACAAAACACGTTTATTCTTCTTTTTGATAGAGTATAAAACACTGACCTTTAAATAAATAATCGTATTCGTCGTCACGGGTCCCCATTGTTGGTCTACCGCACTAAAATGTTGTTGTTGGGCGACAGATCTCTCCTGATTATCGATGTCCGATTCGTAAACGAATCGTTCTTATGAGTAGGATCTTTTTAATGATCGGATGAACCGGTTCATGAACCGGACGAATGATTCGTTCACGAACCAAGAACCGTCTGTTTCAAGACAGAGCTGGTATTAATACAAATAGATGAAAACATGCAAAAACGTTTGCTGCTGAGAGTTTGTTCTAAATGCAAATTTTGCATTATATTAATCTATTTTTTATATCTTTAAATAAATATTTTAAATTTCCCTGTGCACAATCAAAATACAAGCGTTTACAGAGACAAATAAGGTGCGATTTCTGATCCGACCAATTCAAATACCTTCATTGGTGTATTCCAGAGGCTATAATACTTTTTTAGTATTATTAGTAGTAGTAATAATAATACTAGTGTTAGTATTGATATTAGTAGTACTAACCAACAAAACAGTTTAACGTAAGAATATAGCCTAATATTCTTGTTTCTGAGTGATTTATCAAATATGAACTCTCAGGCTTCCAGTTGTTTTAACTTCAAGATTTATGTATGTTTTGGTTAATTAGCTGTCTACCATGCATTTCAGATATATTTAAACAGGGTTGGGGAATGGAATACATGTAACTTAGTTGTAGCCTATTTTAAATAAAAGAAGGGTGGTAATCAAAATACAGTTACATCCAAAAAGTATTTTAGATTACTAAAATGATCACTTTGAATGTTAATGTAATTAATTTTTTTATTTAAACATTAATGTAAAGTGTAATGGGTAGTTGGTGATTCCCCGACTCTCTGCAAGAGCATAAGCTACAGTTCTGCTCATACTCCTTGCAGAATATGCAAAATTAAGAATTAAAAATAAGAGGGATCATAAAAAAATTGCATTTTATTTTCATTTAGTACTGTCCTGAATAAGCTATTTCACATACCAGTTGTTTACATACACCCCACAAGACAAAATAATTAAATTTTAAAAATTGCCCAATTCAAAATTTCTTAACTGTGTCATTGAAGACACACGACTGCTTTTATGTTTTGTGATAGTTGTTCATGAGTCCCTTGCTTGTCCTGAACAGTTAAACTGACTGCTCTTCTTCAGAAAAATCTTCCAGGTCCTGCACATTCTTTGGTTTTCCAGCATCTTCTGCACATTTGACACCTTTCCGATAATGACTATATGATTTTTAGATCCATCTTTTCATTAGATCCATCAACATTCACTGCTGCTCAAGAAGGAAACACAATGCATCAAGAGATGAACCATGATGTGTACATTTTTCCAAATTACATTTTATTTTCTTAAGATTGTCTGCTTTTTTTCCTTAAAGAAATACCTACTGTGGAAAAGTGATGTTGTTAAAAAATAATATGCAGAGGAAAACCAGGTCCTATGTTTGGTGGATGTCATTTTTCTCTGCATTACATACAGTACCTTAAGTATTCCAAAGTATTATATAGTATTTAGATTAAGTTACAAACCTTGTGTGATCTAACAAAATATGTTAGTAAATTACTTTTTAAAGCATGTAGACCTATTTTGTAATCTGTAGTGATATTTCAGTGATAAGTGTTACATTTTAAAAGTAACCTTCACCCTGTTTAAACATCACATATTTTCTTTACACTAACTTTTGAGAACGAGCACGTTACATTTAGACTATTTAATGTTTGCCAATTCATTTTTATTTCACTTCTTTGATTATTCACTTATTGCAGATCACTATAGGGTAGAGTGGGGGGAAACGCCCCCTTGCCATACTGTCTTTCCCAAAATAACCATTGGGTAAACTCATTAAACATTTTTGTTGTTACTTGCTAGTGATCTAATCTTCAGCAGTAAGAAAAAGTGTTGTAAAGCTTGTTGTTTTGGAGAACATCACAGTTATATATTGGGGTAAAATGCCCCCAGGCAGCATTGCTTACCACTATCATAATTACTGTAGTTACCATTTTCTGAGCATCACATCTTTTGTTAGGCTGTTCCATCAAATGTAATCTAACTAGGTGGTTGAATAAAAATATTTGGACTTTATATTTAAAAATTACCTCCAAGTTAGCATCAGCTATCTAGTTAGCTAGCCAGCATCAACATTATTTTTTTTAATAGGCTGATTTTCAACATGGTTCATTAATGGATATTCATATTTTTCTATTGTTAGACTATTTTAGCTTGTCTTTTTAATGTTAAGCTAAAACTGCTTGTACTCTGATTTTGCTGTAAATGTATAATGTATAAAGAAAAATGATTCGTCAGAGAGGGGGGCATTTTACCCCACCCTGCTTTTACCCACCTGAGGGGCAAAATGCCCCCTTGGTCAAATGTAATTTTTGTTAAAAATTAAAAACTAGGATAGGCTACTATTCTAGACACATCTAAGTTTTGTTTCACAGAAAACTCTTTAAGGGGGGCGGTTTCCTCCACTCCACCCTGCTAAACGTAATGTGTTCTTGGCAGACACAGGAAGCTCACCACGTCCTAGGTGTGTGGTGCACGAAGAGTAAGCTATTTCACAGTTTCGTGCACAATACCGCTACAAAGGTAAGCCGATATAGAAATCATAAAGATATTTATTATTCTATGCATTTTGAAAGACAAAAACTTTACTGTAATTCTATCGATTTCAAACGAGAAAGTATTATCATATCTAAAATAGGTATTTTACAAATTGCATTAGGCCTACAGTGATTTAAAAAAAAAAAACCCGAAACAACTTTTTTATGCTGTGCCGTTTCAGTTTCAATTCCAGATAAAAGGACTCGTCTCTGTCAAAGTGTCGCTTGCCCATTTGTGTCCTTTAAAACCAAAGATCCCTTTTCAGTTTTTAATTCAGCTGTTGATGCTTCCATTAATACACTGTTAAAAAAATTTGAAGTTGTAAATAAAACAAAGATTATTGGACATTTTACAAGAAAATAGTGTTTCGGTATTATTCCTACTTCAAAATTTCGCATTTAATTCAATGCTTGCTGTTTCTTTGTAATTATTAGTAACATTTTCTAGCAATTTTTAAGTGAAAATTGTTTCTACACACCTTTTTTCAGTGTATTTAGTAAAACGATAACATTTTTCATTTCATTTTTCAACTAAAAATACATTTTATATTTGTATTTAAATTTATATTTGCATGCTGTTTTGTTTTGCCTTAAAGATGCAAAGACGGTATGACGATTTCTTCATGGAAGAATCCCTCACTTCTGATTTAACAGAAGAGCAAAGTAAGCAGCTCCATGACCTGCTGGGGAATGTGGAACTGAGTCTTCTCTACAAAGCTTCTGTTCATGGATATAAAGCTTCTGCCTTCCACAAGCGATGTGACCGTGAGGGTCCCACCTTACTTGTAGCCTACAACCATTCAGACTACATCTTTGGTGGATACACTAGTGTAGATTATACTCGAAACGAGCAGTATATTACTGATGAGGAGGCTTTCTTGTTCAGCTTTCAAGGCAAGTTCCCTGTCTACATTAAAGTAAACAGTGGACATTATGCACGTTATGGCAATGCTGGAATGCCCAACTTTGGCCAACAGTTGTATTTTTGCAAAAATAACCAACCAGTTGTGTATATTCGAGGAGGTAAATCATTCAGTTTTAATGCTGAAAGATTCTATGGGAACGACACTGTGCTGACTGAATGTGAGGTCTACAAAGTGAAGCAGAGTAAGTCAGTCATCAGAAAAAGTGTGTCATGTTGTTGTGTAAAGTAAATTGTATAAATGTATGAGTCTAGTCTCTAAAAATGTACTTGTTTAGTTAAATTACTTAAGCAGAAGTTAAAGGGGTCATATGATGCTTTTTTAAAGATCAATATTTTGTGTATTTGGTGTAACAGAATATGTTGACATGCTTTAATGTTCAAAAAACACATTATTTTTCAAATACTGTACATTATTGTAAGTCCTCTATGCCCCGCCCATCTTTATTCAATATTAGACCTTCAGACCAAGGAGAAGCCATGGAGGAATATTCGGTGGACATCTATGTAAGTTTGCACTCTTCTTTGCAGTGTTCATTCATTGCTGCTCATTTAATACAGTAATTGTCAATAAAAAAGTTGTGATTTTTTTTTAGACGAAGAGATGAGCTCATGCAAATGATGAGGGATCATAAACCCCTGGTGACGTCTGTCAGCCGTGTTCGAATCCTAATGATCGGTCCTGTAGGTGCTGGAAAATCCAGTTTCTTCAACTCCATCAACTCCATCTTCGCTGGTCATGTGACCAACAAAGCCATGTCAGGATCTGCAGGCACTAGTCTCACCACACAGGTACAGATTCAACAGGATTTATAGAATAGCGTTTCCTACAGAAATCTCTCTTCAGTCTGAGGAATGTCTCCTGATGTGATTCTCTTCTTGGTTGGTAGTTTCGCACATATCCAGTGAAAGACGGTCGTGAGGGAAAGCCGTTGCCATTTGTGTTGTGTGACACCATGGGACTCGAGGAGCAATCAGGTGCAGGACTGGATATTGAGGACATCAGCAGCATTCTTCAAGGTCACGTACCAGACCGCTATAAAGTAAGAGCACTCATCTCCAAAATGAATGAACGGTGAAGTATAGTAATGCTGTTTGTTTCATGCTAAATCCTCTTGATTCAGTTTAACCCCATGGTACCTTTTCAACCTGATGAGTATAAGGCCTCCAGACCTGCATCTCTACAGGAGAAGATCCACTGTGTGGTGTATGTGATAGATGCCAGCAAAATCTCCCTCATGTCTGACAAACTAGAGGAAAAACTTGCTGTGATACACAGAGAAATAAGCTCACTGGGTAAGTGATCATAACGTTATTTCAAGGCTAAATTATAATTTACTTATGACACATACCAAATGTTCAACTAGCCAAAAGCGAACTCTTATGCAAAATGTTGGTTATTGACACAATTTCAGGCATTCCCCAGATGGTCTTGATGACAAAAGTAGATGAAGCATGTCCTTATGTAGAGAAAGACCTTTACATAATTTATCTCAATTCCTACATCAAGTCAAAGGTGAGAGGCGGTCACATGATCACATGGTCTGTTCCTACAGGACTCAGATTGAGGGAGATGTTGTTTTGTGTCTGCAGGTGCAGGAGGTGAGCTCTCGGTTGGGTGTGCCGGTGTCTTGTGTGTTACCGGTGAAGAACTACAGTCAGGAGCTGGAGCTGGAGCTCAACTGTGACATTCTGCTTCTTGCTGCTTTACAGCAGATGCTTCGCTTAGCAGACGACTATCTGGATGATGTTGATGTAATTTAGGGCATAAAATGCTGCAGAGATAGGGATTTATACCTCTTGATAAGCAAAACGAGTAGGCTAATCTTAAATTAGAAGATTTTTATTCTGTTCGGCCAGATCTTTCATAATCATACATAATATCCATTTAAGAAAATGTTGGGAAATGCCAACAAAGTTCACATATCATTTAAGCTGTACATTTCATTATAATTGTTTCTTGCTTTTGTAGTTGGAATATTGTTGTGCCATAATCAGGTACATAAAACTGGAATTATGTGTTAGAATTTAAGATGCTAAAATCTGTATTAAGAAATGCTTCTTTTGATCAAATTAAGTAGTTTTTGATGCTTGAAAGTTTCTTTCAGGACTGTGCAAGATTAAATTGAACAATAATTAATTAAACACAAATGACAAAAATTATATATATATATATATATATATATATATGTAGAGAGAGAGAATATATATTTAATTACATATAATTTAACATTTCTATTTAAATATTGAATTAATAAACAAACAAACAGAACGCAGAACTGATTAAGCTATATATGGGCAAATGTAGTAAATATTATCTCTATACTATTACTGTACTATACGTCTCACTAGGTGTCTAATATTCACATTCCTGAGTTACAGCTGTGGCTGATAAGGATGATAATATCTAGAAGAGGTAATAATCGAGTCATTATTTTGGTGGCAGTCCACGGTTTATGATCAATTCCTCAACTTAACCATGTCCTTCAATGATAATGAATCAAAAACAATGTACACCACTCTCAACAACAATTGCAAATTTAATATTATTATTATTATTTAACATTAAATGTAAGTGATTTAAATATACGTAAAAAAAAAAAAAAAAACATGCCTGGTTTTATCAGCTAATATGATGTCCGTTGCAACGTGGTCACCATTCATTTTCTCTAGGTGAAGCCTGAATTCACAGAATTGAATTGTAAGTAAAGTAAAGAACATCTAAAAATTGGTCAAAGCTTTCAACAAGAAATCTTAAGAATAACCAATGTGGCACATCTGTAAAACCTCTACAGTATTCTGTGTTTTAAAGTTCTTTTTTGATCTCCAAAGGTTCAATCTCTTCTTAGAGTGTACTCACTCATACTGTAACAATTTTTTTAAGATTTTGTGTCAAAACAGAAACACAAAATTGAAAGGAAGATGTATGGCAATAGGGAAATTATATGTAGCCTATAATTGTTTTAAGAATGACGTCATGGTAATCTACAGTTCATTAACACTCGCAAAAGACTTCCATATCCTTGTTTGTGGTCAATGTCCAAAGTTAATGTCAATTGTCATCTCTGAGTGTGGATTAATGAGGAAAAGAGAGAGCAGCTTGAAATCGTGCTGTACTAATTTTGATCTTGTATGAAGAGCATTTCAGTGTTTTTTGAATGCAAAGTAGAAAGGTAAGCTTCATAGTCGATATAAATATCAAAGGTAAATATTCAATTTTAATGTTCTAGATTTTACCACAATTTAATGGCATGCTATAGTTTTCAAACACGCAAGTCTTTTCTCAGATCTAAAGTATTGAAATTTTAACAAACTGTTATTAAATTCAGTCATTCATTCTTTGACGTGCATTTCAGTTTCAATTCTAGTTAAATGGCCTAGTTTCTGAAAGGGCATGACTAGCCCATGCAAACTAGCTCTGGGCAAACACTGTTTATGGTAAGGCTTATTCATCTGCCATGTTAGAAAATAATGTTAACGTCAAGATATTACCATGTTAAAAATGCATAAGTTTATGTAGAAATGTGCATTAATTAAAGAATTGCACTGTTAAAGTAAAAGTAAAAGAGTAAAAGTACTGAGTAAAAGTACTCAAAGTAAAACAGTGTGACTGTGATTACTTCTATGAGAGTAAAAAAATGAAACAACTAGTTAGAACAAAAACATAATTCTGACTAAATAAGAATCAATAAAAAGTAAATGAAAGTAAACAAAGTAAATTAAATGTGCATATTTTTTGTGCATACACAAAAGATCTTTAAATTATATATAATAATATATAAATAAAATGTGTGTAGCCTATGTATTTTTGTCTAGGCTTAAAGATTCAAAAAAGGCTGAAAAAGCTCAGCATGGCTCCTCACACTTCTAATTTAACAGACGAGCAAAGAAAGCAGCTCTGTGCCTTACTGGGGAAAGTGAAACTGACTCTTCTCTACAAAGCAATTCAGTCCATGGATATAATGCTTCTGCCTTCCACCAGCGATGTGACCGTCAGGGTCCTGCCTTACAGCTTACAGATGATTCCTTACTGAATCTTTACTCATTTAAAATCTATTGATTTCTTCAGAAAAAAGTGTTGTGTTTATTAAACTGTGATAACATGGGTGTCACGTTGTGTAGCAGGCAGGAAGACGAATACAGAAGGATCAAGTTTCAAACGCAAATTTTAATAATACCTCCAAAAGCAGGCAGACAGGTTGTAATAGGCTACACACAACTAGGCTATCCTAATGGTGACTGGATAGAGACTGGCAGTGAAAGCACAACTAAAATAGCAAACCAAACGAGATGATTAATCGAACACAGCTGGACACTAATGATTACAAATGATGAGCAAGCAACATAGACAAAGGAAACTGAAAACTGATGAAAAACATAGGCTACTAATAGTCCGTATAACAAACCTAAAGTCCATGAACTAAAACTAACGAAAATAAGCAAGGCGCAACCTCGTTCCGTAACAGAACAACAGATGAACAGAGGGATGTAGGGGGTTTAGGAGGGGGCAAAGAAATGAGGGCTGGTGGCAGGAGGACGACGAAACCGCGGCAGCAAAGATGGAGGAAGTCCGCTGGCACAGACCCAGAGCTCCTAAGGGAGGAGCCAAGGTGGGCTAATACAAGAGCTCCTAAGGGAGAAGCCAAGGTGGTGTGGAGGCTGACGACAGTTGGGTATGGAGATAGAATTGTTGCATAATTCCAAATAAATAGATTACGATCCATAAATAAATGTAAAGAGATTAACAAACATTAAACATATTGACAAATAAATAGAATGAGATCCACAAATAAATCTTAAAGTTTCACAAACATGAATTAAATTCACAAATAAATAAAATGAGATTTGCAAAAAAAAAAAACATTCACAAATATATATTTATGTCACAACCACAACTTTGCCTGGCATTTATTTGTGAATCGCGTCCTGTGCATTTGTAGATAGCTGCACACATTTGTGAATCGCGTCCGGTCACTGTGCATTTGCAATTGTGAAACATTTCTTGCGTCAAGACCAAGCGGCAACCTCCCCCTCTCTCTCGTGAAGCCAACAAGGAAGTCCTTTTATAAGCATTTTTACATTTATAAAGTCATTTTTTCTTAAAGTGTGCTTCATCTTTTTGAGTCAAATTCTTGCATATAATTGGTCAATTAGAATAATGAGACATTTGGGCTGTTACCAAGCAAATGGTATAAATATCAACGAAATTAATCTTTGCAGTGCAGAGGAAACACAGAAGCTGCGTCTGAAGAGGCATTTAGATGTCACACTGTTTAATGCAGCTCAGAGGGACATGGGATGCTTTAACCTGCAGCCCGAATCATTTAAACGGTTGATTCATTCAGAAACGAAACACTGTCATATGTTGCTCAGAGACGCAAAACAGTGCTGTGGCTTTGTTTGGAGTTATTTTTGTTGTTTTATTGAGAACTGTATATTAATATCACAATTTTAATATCACATTTGAAATCATGTTGATTTTTGGAGAAAAGAAATGACACCGATATATAAATGATATTTATATAAACTATATTAACTTATATAAATTTATACATTTTCTGCTCCCATATCTTGAATTTTGTGATCATTCGAAATGTTTTTTAATAAACTGAATCATACAGTGAAAGAACGCACTGTAGATGCGCACACGCACTAGTCTAACCTACTACACTTCATCACACACTGTTTCTCTGGCATTTTCAAAGGCACGTAACATAAAATACTGTGGCTTGGTTGGGATGATACACAGTCTAATGGTCTAACGAAATCCAAATTTAAACATCTTTTACTGTACCCATTTTATGGCCCTTATATTACCTATTTGAGCCAATGCAGATGAATGAAGTTATCTCAGGACGAGACCGCCCTGATTGTAAAGCAAAACGTGATTGGCCTGAATGTTTACAAACCTATAATTGGTCTATTGGCTTTCACTTCTTGTCAGTATACGTTCTTTGGCTGGAGTGGAGCTGTGTGATGTAGGAAGAGTATTTGATCGCTTCCTACACATAACGCGACCAAGGTCAGCTTCTTAGACGATATAGACACTATAAAGGTATTAAATATTCTATGTAAATATGATACACTTTGAAAGTAGACATGCAAATAAATTTAATAGTAATGGTAGCGATATCAATGTCATGGTTTCAGTTTCATTTCCGGTTAATCGCACTTGTTCACTATAAGAATCAAAATACTGACATTAGTTAAGTATCTTAACACTATTTTACAGTATTTATTCATCTTTGATGTTCATATATAAATAATCCATTAAGGATTTTTAAGAAATTATATTTTCTTTATATTATTATGTAATGAATGTCTTTTTGTTAAAGATGAATAAAAAAACACTGGGAAAGCGCAGCGTGGAGTCCCTCACTTCTGATTTAACAGAAGAGCAAAGAAAGCAGCTCTGTGGCCTGCTGGGGAATGTGGAACTGACTCTTCTCTACAAAGCTTCTGTTCATGGATATCAAGCTTCTGCCTTCCACCAGCGATGTGACCATCAGGGTCCCACCTTACTTGTAGCCTACAACCATTCAGGCTACATCTTTGGTGGATACACTAGTGTAGATTATACTCAGTGTTGCCAGCAAATTACAGATAAAGAGGCTTTCCTGTTCAGCTTTCAAGATAAAGAGCCATTCTGCATCAAAGTTAAGAGTGGACATTATGCACGTTATGATGATGCTGGAGGGCCCAACTTTGGTCAACAGTTGTGCTTTTGCTACAACAATCAACCAGTTGTGTATCATCAAGGAGGG